GATTACCAGTATGGCGAATTGGCCACCTATATGTCACTGTACTGGTGAGATAACTCATGCTCTGTTAAGTATGTCATATGATGTCCCGGGTCCCTGGTGCTGCAGTGTAGGATCTACATTCTCTAGATCCGCAGTTTCCTAACTTCACATGACCCACAAGCTGGATCGTCCTTTTATATATCCTTAAGCTGGGTTTTTCTTAATTTTAGCGTCGTTTGTTGACGAATTACGCCTTATCTGGTCGTCCCCGGCCACCGTGGCTATGCCAGCAGACTGCAACTTGTATGAGTCTTGTTCTTTATTTTTTTAATGGAAAATCCTCCAAAGATCTTAGCCAATCGTGGTCCTGGCAGAGCCGTTCGTCACTCAGTGAAACTCGAACTTGAGACCTTGCGATTGTGACCTGGGAGCGCTAACCACTGCGCTATCGACCCACGGGTCAATACTATAGATTTAAATTTTTTCATATATAAAGACGAAAGTCTGTTTCTATAATAAAATAAACAGGATTGCTGAAAAAAAATAAATAAATTTAAACTAAACTTGAATTGAACCAAAAAGTTTTAAGAGTAGGGTATCTTATGATTTTAGGGTCATATAATTAACCAATCAGAATGCTCAATTTTGCCTATCGATAGGCAAACTTGCCTATCAATAGGCAAAATTGAGCATTCTGATTGGTTAATTTATATGATCCTAAAATTATGAAATACTCTACTCTTAATTAAGATTTATAAATTTAAAATTCTGTTTAGATTCAATTTTAAATATCTGCAAAATTTAAAGATTTTTAGATTCAATTAAACCTGAACCTATACCTAAATTGAACTGAACTGAATCTAGAAACACTATGTACTATATCTAGTTCATTAAATACAGATTTTAAAATTAGTGAAATGTAAAAGATCTGAATCTTGTATATAATTATTTATAATAGTTTATCAGTATAAAAATCATTATATTCTGGTCACTATATCAAGATTGCAGACATAAATTAGTTATATAATGGATACTATATATATAAGCAGGACTTTCAGTTCCACTAATACCCAACTGCCCAGAATATAACTATTACTTGTTCCTTGCTATTGATGTAACTATTATATCAAATACCTGTAATTCTATATAAACGAATACTGAACAACATATTTTTTTTATTATTTTTTTTTTTTTCCACTTAGGCCGTCTTGCCAAAATTCTTTATTACTGGGCATCGATTGGTTAGAATGACACCAAACAAATTATTATACTACATAATTTTAGACATGACATCCCGCAGTTACTTTAAAGAGCACTTACAAGTGATCGGCCGCACTGAGCAGACATGTCCCTTTGAACACATCGTAATGAATTTCAACTAGAAATTACATCTATCTCAGAAGGCACTATCAGACTACCGCTCTACAATAGGATATCACCAACTGATGACATCTTCTCGTAGAAAGTAGAAAAAAGAAAAAAGCACTAACACTAATACTAATATTAAAGGGAAAAGTAAAATAACGAAAACTAATACTAAAAAAAACAAATACAAAGATGAAAGGAGTAAAAAAAGAAAAAAAGGAATCTGATAGGTCACAATTATGAGCCTGTGTCGGGCTTTAAAAAATTACATATTAATAGAATAAAGAAGCTCTGTATCTAACTCTACTCTAATAATATATGTATCTATATCGAAAAACCTATATAAGGAAAAAAATGTTCTAAACTAAACTAGAAAAACTAGACAGAGTAGTTAAAGAAAAGAAACTGTAGTCTCAAAGTATCATTTGCGGTCCACGGCAGTCGAGGCACGTAACCATAGTGTATCCCAGATGCACCGTTTCCGTATGTAATCTCTTACTCATTCTACTCCAATGCACCTGACTGCAGTCTACTAGTTTATTGGTAACCGAGTTGCCCTGAGCTATCTTAAATAAACAAAACGTCGTAGACATCCACTTTGGGAAATAAACAATACCAACTGTTTTGGTGATTTTTCGTGTCAATCTTTTGAAGGGAGTAAGCTAAGACGCCCACTTTTTGACAATTTTCCTCGAAAAAAGTGGTGGGTTAACAAAACTTTTTGTGGTTGTTCCTTGTACTGAACAACATATTAAAAATGTATTATCTCTATAGAAAAATTTTGTCCAAATTTTGTCAGCAATATTTCAGAATGGAGTTGCTTTTCTAAATATATCATTTACTATACTAATTTTGTATAATGTTTATACCTAATATTATCAACCCAAAAATATCTTTTTTTATATTACAGTATAAAAATTGTATAATATCATACTGGCATTCAAAAAATTAACTCCATTTTGAACATTTTTTTAAACAATGTCTACAATAACTAAACAAACTTTTTGTAAAGTATTCTAGATAAGGTATATTAAAGTAGCCATTACAGCTAAATTGGCTGCAATTAATAATTCATTTAAAAATCAAAAATTTTTTTAATAGGTGCTGTGTATTATGATGTTTTAATTGTTAACACCTTTAGTACTATTACTACTCTCATTCAGAAACAGTAAATACTTTCATTATTAAATGACAAATTTTTTATCACAAAAGCATCAATTATTCCATTTTATTCTGATAATAAATTTAATTAAATTAACACATAATACTATATTTAAATTTTTTGACTGATCAATATTTGCAAGCAATTTATTTCAATATAGCAATAAAATAATAAAATTTCTAATTTTGATTATTAAAATATAATATTATAAGAAATTTAAATGATTTAGTACTTAAATTATGACTATCATTATCTAAAACTTTGTTATATGTAGAAAAACTTCTTTTTACAACACAAGCAGAAATTGGTAACCAGATATAATAATGAGTAATTTTTCTTAAAAGAGAAATTTGCAAAGATACCTTATTCCAAAATACTTCTAGATTCATAAATTCTATAGTACTTAAATTGATGTTGCAATAGATTGCCTATTTTTAAATAAGAGATAGTGATGAATTAACCAGCTTTTTAATAATTTAATAAGAATAAATATCCTAATTAGCAGTTGTTAATATTAAAAATCATAGGTTAAAAACTTGAACTGCTTTAAAAAAAAGCATACAGGATGTTGTAATATATAATCTTGAAGTTTTTTATAAGCAGCATTAAATGCTTGCTAAAATACTGAAACAAATAATAATAATAAAGAGTTTCATTTTTGTAATACAGTATCTACATTTGACCCAAAATTAATTGCTGTTGTTTTTGCAATTATTTAGGCTTCAAGTTATTGTAATCTTTGCTCAATAAAAGAGAACATTGGTTTAGTTTTCTGTTGAAAAAAATCAAGATCTGCTACAAAATGTTCTGCATTTTCTTAAATAAATGCTAAATAAACTTCCACACAACTATTTACTTATTGATTAGCAAAAAGCAAATGTATTTGCTTAATGTTGGTGTAGAATTTTCTCTACTTTCTTTATTATAAAACCTACAAATATAATCTAAGTATTGATATACATAAAATGCCATACGAAATCGAGTATTCCATCATATTGCATGAAATACTGGTATATTGTTGGGTTAGATACTTCATGATGACAAAGATATGATATGTAATGTGCACGTCTATTTTTACATAAAGTAAAAATTTGTTTGATATTGGTAAGTAACTGGAGTATAATTTGAAAGTACTCAATTGACAACCATGCTTCTCTGAAAAAAAATTAATATAGTAACTATAAAATATAATATACAGTAGTAATAAAAGAAAAGTAAATTAAAAATATTTACCCAATAAGATTAACAATATGCACTAAACATGGTAAGTGTATCAATTGTGCCATTATAGGTTTTAATATTTTACAAAAACTCTTTTTCATATATACTGCTGAGTCAGATGCAATTAATAATGGTAATTCAAAAGGAATTATCCACTAAACTAAACTTTGAACTATAAGTTGACCTATACTACAGTTGTTAATCATTTCCAAATAATCAACATGAATTAATTTTGTTACACCTTCATAACTAAAAAGTATATTAATTACACTTCGGGCTTTAGCATCTGTAGTTTCATCTACAATGATTGAAACTCGCCTGTTATTAAAATATTCTTTGAGCTAATTGAGGTGTTTTTTAAATATTTGTGGTAAATAATCATGCCGCAAAGCTTGTGCTTTTGGTATAATTCCTCCTTCATAACAATTTTTGCGTAACCAATTTTGAAGTTTATCAATTTTCTCTAATGGAATATCTGCTGTTGCAAATGCTTCCACTAGATCAAATGCAACAATTTTTTTTATTTGAGTTTTATCATTTGTGGTTTGAAGTGTTAATTGATATGCATTGAAATTTCTTTATTACGAATATGTGTTTTAGAATTATATGAGCGGTGAAGGTATTTTTGTATAAAAATTAACACTATGGCCACAGAATTTACACATAAGTTTTCATTTTCAATGAAATAATCTTCAGGAAATTCTCTTGCACGAGAAAAAACTGTTATAGTAGAAGAAGGCGGCATTTACAACTTTATTGAAGTAAAAATTGTAAGTTATATTAATATCACTAAAAATTTATACTACGATACTATCATTCTTACTTAATAAATCAGTTGCATAAATTATACTACGTATTATGTAGTAATTTGTTATAATCATGATATTAATTTTTAATTTTTTATTATGCAAATCTACAATTGTGATTGGTTCATTTTGCAAAAAATTCCATTTCCTTTCGATAATTACAATAATTAGCAAAATTTTATTTTACTCCATTTTTATCTTAATGGAGGCATTTACTGTCCCTGCTCCCATTCAATAGTATTAATATGCTAATACATTTCGTCTTTATAACGATATTTACGGAAATCATGTTACGTAAATATGATCATATTGTTACTACGAATCATGTGCACAAGCCGTACTACAGTACTACGATTCATTGTTGGTCTGGAGTGAAGAGGCCGCCCATGTGATTTAATCATACAACTTACTAAGAGTCGAGTTTAAACACTTTAATAACTTCTGTTTCTTATGTAAATACTAAAAAGATGAATACAAATAATATAGATATATCATATCTTCGTGAACTTCTAAGGCCAACAGTTCAACATACTATTCCCAAAGATCAGAAGCGTATAAAGGTAGTGACAATTACTAATAAGGAAACAACAACAAAGTATGTGTTGAATGACTTGGATAAATCGGCTTCTTTAGGAGAAGTACGACGAAGTTTATCCGCGAATGACGATATTTTAATGGGCAAGCAAAACTCACAATTTTGTAATAAATCAAAAGATAAAATACACTTTGATTGTGAAGATAATTTTAAGCTTGAAGACATTTTAATTCCGGAGGATGATTTTTATTCGGTATATATAGAAAAAAATCAAAAGAAACCAAACTTTATCGAAATTTCGCACAGACTTAGTTTAAATAAAGGACTTAGAAAGGGAAGCAATGATGATAGCATAGTAACGGCAAATAAATCGGCTTTTAGTATAAAAAATCCGCATATTATGAATGTAACTCTTAATGATAATTTTAGGCGTACACATGGAAAAACAAGCGAAGATTTTAATAAATTTTGGGAAAGAAGCTTCGACCATCAAGACACAATCCCTCCTTTACAATCTTCTGTTGTTTTAGATTATGATGTTATATGTTTTGAGAAGGGGTCGATTCGATTATTACGTAAAGACTTAGAAGTAACAGATGAGTATGTTAAAGCTATTGAAGACGCATTAGATGAAAGTCAAAGTAATGCATGCAAAAGGGAAGCGCTGAATAAAATCGGTGAAGAATATGGTTTTTTCTGGTGAGTATATCTTGTAATAACAAAACTACAATATGTAATTATATTTTCTTGAATTATAATTGATTAGGGCACAAGAAATTAAACTCGGAGGAAAATCTCAGAGTGCTAAACCTATGAATTATACGAACATACGCAATTATAAAGCAGTTGGTGGTGATATCACAAAGTGTAATAATGAGGAAGAATGGTTGGAATCCCTTAGTTCTTATGAAAATTGGGTAATTATTGGATATAATGATAAATTATCACTATACGAATTGCTGCCAGAATCGTTAAAATTAAAAATAAAGGTGATAATTGGCATGAAAGTACTTCACTCAGATATTTTGAGTATTAAAATGCCCAAATTAATTTATCATATTTATAAACCACCGAACATTGTAACGTTTAGGAATCATAAAATATTCGTTTCAATGGTCAATAATGCAAATAGCAAGTATTTCAGTAGTGTTTTTGCAATTCGCGTGGATTACCAAAATCCAGAAAGCCCATATTTCATAATTCATTGCCTTAGCACGGCCACCAAAGTTCCTCCCCCAATCAATCTTTCGGTACCATGGATGATTATTGGATATGATGATAAGTTTCCAATTGAACCATTATCAAAATCCTTTTGTATTGAATATATTTGGTCAAAATATGGAACAGATACAGAAATTAAACTCACAAAACCAATCTATCAAGATTACTGTTTAATAAGCACTTGTGTTTTAGATTGTGAAGAAAATCCTGGATATGAATTTGGAATGTCAAATATTGTTATTAGTCACCATTTTTGTCAACCTGAAAATATAAAAATGAAAGTATGCAGTAGTCAACACGATCTTTCAAATAATTCTACCTTAGCTCCATTAATTTTTAAAGTTAATTGTGCTATTATTCTTGGTACATCTGATGCTAAAAAACAGCATCCTTTTATTGTTAGCAAGAATAATCAAAACTGGAAAGACATTTGGAGTCTTCTGAGGCCACATAATAACATTTTCACTGGGAATAGTTGGCATATACCTGACAATGAAAACTATGTATTCTCAAGTTTACTTTATTTCAGTTCTTCGGAATCTTCTGAACAATGTTGTCCGTTACTTTTAAATATTAATCGTAAGTGTCCGATTGTTAAGTCATTTAATGGTGTTCCAAAATGTATGGTTACTCGTTTGATTTACAGGAAATTATATCAAAGTTAAGAATGCGTTTTTCGCTAAAATATTACGATTTCATATAATATCTTGGTAAAATAAATCATAATGTGCACCTTTGCGTGAGACATAGCTGTCTATAACATTTTTATATGATTTAATTTTTCTGGATTCATGTAATAATTGAAGCGATTGCTATTCATTGTATTTAAAGTTCAAACCTAAATGCAGAATAAATAATTTATAAACTTAAATAAATAAATTCTTGGTGATTAAATTTTATTGTTATTTTAATGAATAAAAATACTAGTGAAATTAATTTTACAAATTCATCAATTTCACCAGTAGTCATGAAATTATTTCACAACTCTAGTTTAATTTCACAAGTATATACCTTGTAATAACGTATGTATGTCCATTTTAGAGCAAACCTTTAACACTTAGATTTCACGATACACCTGTATGTTGCATATTTATTCTTACCGGTATCAACAATAAGAAAAGCTATTCCCTTATTTTTGTAGCCGATATTAAATCATAGCATAGATTTATATATCAAAATTAGCTACCGTAAACTGACCCCCAACGCATCAGACCCGCTATGTATTATACACGAGTCTATAATATGGGATAAAGTTTTGGTAAAATGTAAAAGACCTGGGGTATACAAATAGAATTAAGTACTAATGATCAATAATTAAACCCTCCTAATTATCAGACCTGTAACCATACAAGAGACCCATGGGTCTGTCTAGTAATAGGTTTGAAAATTGGTGAAATGTATTAGATCCGGGTCTTTTAACGGTAAATGTTTTGTCTTTAGAGTTTAGACTTATTTGCATATATTAAAACTGGTAGCTAGCAATGTTAAAAAATCCGTCCTGATCCGGCCTGAAAAGTCTTGATTGTCCCGAACTAGTTGGAACTAATCTGCAACTATACAATGTAAATAATTTCGGAACTTGTAAAAACATATTAATCAGAGGACCTGATCTAATTAGCGAGTTTTTATTCGATGTGTCAGAATGACTCGATTCATTTCATGTGATTACTTTGACTAGTTTCAGGCTGGTCCTGAATGGTCATGAATGGTTCCTCATATGGGCCAATATGTCCTCTATGCAGAAAGAGAACCCTGTACCCTTTGATGATGGAACAGGTTATTTGACAATGCTATTATCTGACAGACAGCTCATTAGACAATTGACTATATCATTTTTGAGACGGAAGGTTTATTTTAATACTACACAACAATAACAAATTGCATGTTTAGTATAGTAGGCTCAGGCCAATAATGAGACGATAATCTAATGGGTTTTGAGATAATCTAACGGGTTTGATGCATCTTCGTTAAATCCTTCTTACATAATAGTACAGAATGAACCTCAATAAATCAAAACAACCACTCTAATCATTCGTCAGACCAATCAAAAAAATTAAATAAGGGGTTTAGACTAAATTTAGTGACTCTATTCAAGGCCCAATATACGCTGATTGGCCCGTATGAAGTCTTGTCCAGAATTGTACCGGACTCAGCTATCCGTGAATCACTTAACATCCTAGTTTTGATATATGAAAAACAAACCGATTATTTATAACTATAATTAAGATTTATAGCTAAGCGTTTTTAAGCGTTTTTAATTAATATTGTTAATTAGAATGGTATAATAAAAATGCTTTTTAATAACATAATAAATAACTAAAGTGCTTCTTGATTAAAATATTTTAAAACCAAAGTACGTACATTCCAATTAATTAATATAAGTGACTAATGCGACATTAGGTTTGAAGTAAAATAACAATCGAATTAAAAATATTTTATATAGTAAAATGTTGTCAAAACTTTTTATTAGAGCATCCAAAACAGTTTTATAGACAAAATTTTGAATTATCAATTTTTTTTAGAATTTTGTTTTATTATATAATACAAAGAAATTATACAAATTATTTGATTGTCCAATTTGAAGGAAACGCAATACAATGATGAACCTAAATAGACCCTAACTAATATTAATTAGATTATTTTTAAATATACCGATACATATTATATTTACATGTAAATTCACAGACTTTAATAGGTAAAAATTTCTTATGACTTACATAATACCTTTGTTTTAAAAACAAAAAAATAATACAATAAAAGTTTACAGCTACGACAAAGTAATTTCAAATTCTTAGAATTTTTATAAATGAATGACTACGAATAAAACTTATTTCATATAATCAATTTTATTTTTACTAAGGGAGGGTCGGGTATTCTGGCGCGGATGGTAATGTGGCGCACTGAAGTTTTTTTGAAGTATCTCGTAATACAAAAACCAGAAATGAACGATTTTAACACCATTTAATTCGCCTTATCAAGACGAATCGAATGGTGTCAAAATCACTTTAGTTGGAATTTTTGGCAAAAAGATATGAGCAACGTTAATAAAAAAAATAAAAAAACACCGAAAATTAACAAATGTGCCTGCATGCACCATGACAATCCAGCCTAATTAAGTAATTTATTAATTAAAATACATAATTTAATTTCTTGATATATTTACGTCAAGTAAGCAAAAATTATCACGATATAAACCTAATTCCTCTTCACTATGTGAAGAGTGACAATCACGATAAAATTTTTGGAAACTAGAACTATATTCGTCTCTTTTACAAAACAAATCGGCAAATTTACACATCTCCAACCCTTTACGAGTGTACCTATACCTATATTTCATATCAAAAATAGTATCTTTATGTGCGGCTTTTTCAAATTTTTTGTATTGCCTGAGAATATAATCCATCTTGGCAAGAAGTTCATAATCATGCATAAGATCGTCAAAGAAAATGACGAAGAATTTAATTCGATCGAATTGGTGACTATACAAGCAATAATTGTCGGTTGGCTTAATCGTTTCGTTCGTGATGATTAATTTTAATAAGTATTTTATGATATCAGTTAGCCGGTCATTGAGAGTCGGAAAAGTGAATATCATCTGATCTTTAAATGCACTAGGGTCATAGGTACTGTTGATTAAATTATTACAAAGAATTGAGACTACGTCGTTAATTTCTTCATATTGTAGATCAGGAAGGTACTCCATTTTTAATGTATAACAACTTTTTTTCGCGAGCAATAAACAAAATTTATTATATTTATATATATTTTATTCGCGAAATATTTCTACCTGTCATTTGATTTACAATTTAGTATTAATTTTACTTCGTAATCATTATTGCAACTAAATTATCTAACAGAAACTATTGAGATCTTGATTTTATCTAAAACCGTAAAACAATCATGATCGTGATTGCATACAAAAGACACAAATAAATATCTTTAAAGCTTATTATCATGCACTATACTTTAAAGCTTCGATATCGCCTTTGTGTAATTTGCTATTTTCGTAATAGGTGATTTTTGTTATTATGGAGCTAAACAGCTATTTCTGTAAATAGCTAGTTATAGCGATATTGCCTTTGTATTAGTTTGCTATTTTCGTAATAGACGATTTTTTTATTAGACAATTAACAAGTCTAAACTGCACTATTTCTGTAAATAGCTAGTTATAATGATATTGTTTAAATT